CGCCACTTCTGAAGCTCTCGCTTCAGAAACGAAGTGGTGCAGTGCAATTTGGGCAAGAGCTTTATCATGGCTGGAACCCTTGTAAATCCCATATCCGCCCGAACGCTGCCTTTAAGCTGCACCAAGTGCACCTGCGTTATGCGTCGCACTGTCCAATCTGAACTTCCCTTCATTCATCCACTCCACTAGATCATTGATTTTCTCCACATAGCCAAAAAGTCTGGATTATATGGGAGGTGTCATAAAGTTGCGATACGCACTAAAGTATGTTAAAGTGATATGCTAGTAACTGGCAGGAGTAAGCAAAAAGACTGCTTCTTACGGTGCAACGACGCTTGCTGAAATTAACTTTTTTTTGCAATTTCTTATGCAAAATCGACGAAGTTTGTCGATGACAGTAGTAGAGTGCCGAAGCAGAGCCTTTTAATGGAATAGAGAGCCAAACCCGGTATGTGTGCTTTAACACGTGAGAAGCATTCAGGTTTGTCAACGTAGTTATATTTGCAAAGCGAACGCAACTATATCGGCCACCTCTTAACGAGTGCGAAAAGGCTATTGTGGCAGCATTTGAGGATCCTGTGATGTATAGAAAATGGGTAACGCTTTTACTCATAGAGAAGAGGGACATACCACAAGTAACCGAAAGCACTGTATGGATGATCAAAGTAAGATTCGACAATTCATGTTTCTTTCGCTACCTACTTTACTTCAGTATCTACTGCGAAATTTCCCAGATAGCACAATAATCTACAGACAGATAACAAGAACACTAGTGGAGCTACTAAAAAGCAAAAGGGTACAAATCTTCTGGTATCAAGCTTTGTGCACAGAAACAGCAGTTGCAGAGAGCAGAGCAACGTCTAGCGGCCGAGTTTTTCACTGGAGTAGCTATGGGAACAAAATATCGGGGATTCAAAACGCTTCACGAGTTATGGAAATGGTTGGCCCCTGCTGTCGATCTAATGTACGATTACATGAATGCAGACGCACATTACGCTTGGCACGTTTGCCTAAACACGGTAAGCCCTTTACCTGTGCTTACTGATGAACTGCACAAATTACTGGCTCAAACATCTACACCTTGCTTCCAGTAAGTCATGACTGAGTTTCCAAGCTAATGCGCACAAATTGTAGCACAAGGGAGAAATAGCGCGAACAGTAACGCTGTTTAAAGTAATATGTTCCATTGCTTGATTCCCATACGATAACATGACTATGATTCTAACATTCTTACATAGACTTCGATAATTCAGCTTTTGGAAAGAGATGATACCAGAAGGTTTTGGTGGTTGATAGAAGAACTATTGAAAGGCATGGCTCGTCCAGCCCCATCAGCTTGGCATCAAGCAGTGTAAGTTATTGGAACAGGACTTAATCATTACAATCGAAGTATGCTCGCTGTAGCTCCTATTACAAGCACACTTGCGGAAAGAAACGAGGGTATTCGTCCCACCTGAAAGCTGCATTCAAAGTCGTCCATGTGGAGGTCTTCATCCAATGGGAAACCGATACAACCGGCAAATCTGGGCGATGAGCAATCATTCAATCATATCTAAACCAATACTAGAGGGTTTGTGACACAGATCCGCCGATCTCGTCATTTATGGGAACTGCACAATTGCTTATGTTCAAAAACTAATGTCTGAGCTTGACCAAGCGTATCCGAGTCCTGTGGAGATAGGACACAAAAATCAAAAGAGGAGTGACTCAGCACCCTCGCCATACGTAGTTGTCAAGCCGTTTATGCCAGAGGAAAGGTTCGACGGCGATTACTGTAACACCGCATACGGCTAACGTAACGCTGAAATACAACGAGCTTTTTCAGCTCCCCCAGTTGAGCGGACGCTAGCATTAGTAGCTGCATCAACACTGTGGTAGAACGCGAAGGGTGGACGCTCCTTCAATTTTCG